CCAGTTGCTGCCTCTGTGCCATCATATAGCAGGCCTGTTATTTTAATTACAAAAAGAGTTATTTAAAAGTGAATTTCCATTTCCACATCATTCTGCTACACTTTTATCCCACCTAGAAAAATATCCATAGAAACCCTCTTTAATTCCTATACTTATCATTTGGAGTCAAGGACTCGGATTTCCTATTACAACATCATCACCACAATGACTGGCATAATATAATTTGATTCAGCACAGGTTCCTAGGACGCTGTGGTACCCACTGCACAACTCTTGTGTGGTTCAGCTCTGCAGGTGGAGTGAAAAATGAATACAAATATTTGCAAATTATTTCTTTTCAACTGGAGTGTTTAATTTAAAGAAAACATGAGTGGGATTTTCCTTCATTTGTGTATCTGCTCATTTTAAAGGCAGCTCTTTTTATTTTATTTTTTAATCACATTAATTTTGTAATTTTGACATGTGTGCCACCTTTTTTTATATGTGCATCATTGGTGTAACATTTCTTTGCATTAAATAATGAAAACAAGTCTTCGTTCTCAGAAACTGGGTGCCTAATGCAACGCTCCTTAAATACTGTAGATTATTATTATTATTATTATTATTATTTAGATAAAAGGCTCTACTGTCTCTTTCTGCCTTCTGTAGGTCACCCAGTACCTGAACGGTTAATTGCTTTAAGGCATTTGAGCTTGTATGTTGTCATGGTGAATATTGTATTACTTGGAAATGTATCTTACTTTGGTTTTAATAAACACCCGATGTTATTAACAGTTACTGGGCTTGTGTGAATCAGTGTTTTTGTATCGCCACTTCAAGGTGCGGAGGCAACGGAGCTTCACTGAACACGTGCACTCAGGCTCACATCGCGGCCACGCCCCCCGGCTCTACAAGTTTAAACAGAGTCCCGGCGGCAAAAGTCGCCGGGAGTCTGTTTAAACAGCCCCGATGCTGGCGACGTACACTGTACGTCGTCAGTCACGAAGGGGTTAAAGTAAATCTGAATGTAACACTGCATAAGTGAAGGTCGGTTTCCTTTTTTACTAGCATTAACCCCCACCTCTACTGGCAGTGGACAGAGCATCCCCTTTAACGCCAGTCCCATTGCAGCTTAAACTTACTGATGCTCTATCCATCACCATGGGCAAGGAGAAGATGCACTGTACACCAATCATCCATAACAATATGACTACTCTCCTAATATTGAGTACGTCCCCATTTTGCCACCAAAGCAGCCCTGACCCATCAAGGCATGGACTCCATTAGACCTTTAAAGGTATGTTGTGGTATCTGGCACCAGTAGATCCTGTAGGTTGTGAGGTGAGGCCTCCACGGATTGGATTTTTTTTCAGCACATCCTACAGATGCTTGATTGGATTGAGATCTGCAGAATTTGGAGGACAAGTCAACACCTCAAACTCATTGTGGTGTTCCACAAACCGTTCTTGAACCATTTTTGCAGTGTGGCAGAGCACATAATCTTGCTGAAAGAAGCCACTGTCATTAGGGAGTACAGTTTCCATGAAGGGGTGTACTTGGTCAGCAACAATGTTTAGGTAGCTGGTACATGTCAAAGTAACATCCACATTAATGGCAGGACCCAAGGTTCCCTAGCAGAATATTGCTCAAAGCATCAAACTGTCTCCGCCGGCTTGCCTTCTTCCCATGGTGCATCCTGGTGCCATCTTTTCCCCAGGTAAGAGACTTGCACACACCCGACTATACACGATTTAAAGGAAAATTTAATTAATCAGACCAGGCCACCTTCTTCCATCGCTTCGTGATCCAGTTCTGATGACATGCCCGTGGCGGTGGACAGGGGTCAGCAAGGGCATCCTGACTGATCTAAGGCTACACAACCCTTACAAACTGCTATGTACTGTGTGCCATATTTCTATCAGAACCAGCATTACTTTTTTCAGCATTGTGAGCTACAGTATTTCTATTAGATCTGACTACACGGGCCGGCCTTTACTACCCACATGCATCATTGAGCCTTGCCCACCCTTGACCCTGTCTCCGGTTCACCGGTCCAGTTTCCTTGCTTGGACCACTTTTGGTAGATCCTGAACACTGCAGACCGGGAACATCCCACAAGAGCTGCAGTTTTGGAGTTGCTCTGACCCAGTCCTCTAGCTGTCACAGTTTGGCCCTAGTCAAAGTCAATCAAATCCTTACATTTTTTTTTCTGCTTCCAACACAACTTCCAACTTCAGGGACAAAATGTTCACTTGTTCAATCTATCCCACCCACTTCCAGGTGCCATTGTAACCAGATAGTCAATGTTATTCATTAGACATATAAGCCAGCAAAAACATTTGTTTTTCGTTTCATTTTGTTTCGTTATTTAATTTTTCGGGATTCGGGTCTAAAAGTCAATTCGTTTCGGCATTCTGATCCGGATGAATCTGAATTTTGGCTGAGTTAAATGATCATTACGAACTAAAATTCGTTCCAGAAAAGTGACATTACATGTTTACTTTGATTCTTTTTAATTTATGACCCCACTTTCATACCAGACCCTTTAGGTCTTGTTGGAATGTTAGG